AGTCTTTAGGACCCCGAGAACATCTCTCCTCAGAGCCATCCAACCACAGGCGGCGCTGTCCTGAGTGACACACAGAGAGACCCGTCCCCTCAGCTTTGATCGATCCACACACTTTGACTAAAATACTCATCATCAAATGATTATGCATGAATTAAATCTAAAGAGGTTTCAACATTTTACCTTTTCTTCATTTACTGAGATAAAATAAAAAAAGTCAATAAATAAACATTATTTCACTTTAATTAGTCAAAGTAATCAACAATAAAAATTTACCTGACCTCATAATAAAATGAAACATTTAAAAAATCACATTTATACAAACATATACCATATATATGATATTTGTATAGTATAATTTACTTATAAAACTTCATGTTGAAGTTCAGCAGAAGGAGAAAGTTTTACCTGCTGCTGCAAAACATCTGTCACATTACTGAAGTACGACGAGAAAACATCTGGAGCTGCAGCCACCATGGAAAGCTGGAGGAAGAAAGAAAGAAAGAAAGAATGAAAAAATGAATAATTTAATGAATGAATGAATGAATGAATGAATGAAGTGGGCCCAGCACAGGACCCTGGGAACCTGTCATACTCACACAGCTTCCATCGGTCAGCAGTCGGTGCTGCAGGATCTGGAAGGTGTTGAATTTCTCTTCGTCCCACGTGACTCCACCCTCTCCAACAGGTGAGTCATTGTCTTCGATAATTAGCTTTGTCCCCCGCAGTGTCTCAAACACCACCCATAATACCTGGCGGCACTGCAGGGAGCCAATTCGATGTCAGAGTTCAGAATTTTAAAGAATTTGAAAATAAGGTTTGAACGTAAGAATCCAGCTCTGTGATTGGTTGAAAGGCTCAGGTGAGGTCAGAGGCTTACTTTAGAGAGACCGGCTGTGCTGGCAGAGAAGGCGTTGTCTGGAAATGAGATGTTGACGTTGTACTGCAGGCAGTGAAAAGGAAACGGTGGCCCCTACAGAAAGGGCAGGAAACAGTTCATAGCTTGCTAAAGGTGCTTTTTAAAATGTGGTGCTGAGTGCACAGTTGAAAGGTTGTGGTCTTACCAAGTCTTTGAGCCGGCGATGGGTTTCCTTCACCACGTTTGCCTGCAGTGTGCAGGGCGGCATGGAAACCACCATCAGCTGGAAGCTGCTCAGCTGCAGGAAGGCAAGAAGGACTGAAGAGGGCATCATCATTCTGGGTTTTTGTTTGAGGTGATCGGCACTTAGTCCTGTTCTTCAGCAGGTCCTGGACATAGTTAGAGAGCAAAGAGATTGGTTTGATGTCAGGTCCAATCAGCAAATCAGAGGATGTCTACCTCTGTGACTAATCAGAATCAAGTGGCAGAAACTTGGACCAGGTAAGTTTTGATCTACAACCCTTACAATTACGAACAATGTTGTTCATACAGTAGATGATGCTGTTTTTATTGTTTGTTATAATGATTCTGTCAATTTTAACATTTTGAGATGACCCAAAGAATAACAGGATCAATAAAGTTGCAGTGATGTCAGCGACATGTTCTCACAGAAATCCGTTGAAGAAAAGTGATGAATCAAAGCTTTTTTATCAAAGATGCTGTGATGACATCACATTCCGATGGAGCTTATCAAAGTGATCAGAGTGATCAGACGTCAATAAATATTGATGAGAGACGTCAATTTGTGACCTGAAAGCAAAAATAAACTCTGACCTTTGCGGCAGGAGCTGGAGGAACCTCAGACTTCAACGGGGACAATGTTAGTATTTATCTGTGCGACGGACAGTCATTATATTACTGACGAACATGTTCCCCGTTCAGAGGCATCGAGCATCACGTCAGAGTCGTCGAGCGTTAGCGTATGGGTGGAAACTTGGAGCCTGATGTTTGATTTCAGATGTGGCTCAAGTTTCCAACTCAAACTGAAATTTAGTGGAAAGTGAGTGGCGTGGCCTCGCATGGGGATGGTGAGTCATGTGATTCGTGACGGTTTCGGACTAAATGTTCTTTCTGAGTTGTCAAGTTCTTCCACTCTGAGCTGTCACTTAATCGGAAACGAAACTTAAATCAGTCACATGATCGTTGCGTCTGTTTGTTGAGTGTGACGACTGTTGGGAGTCACTCCAATCTACGATCTACGACCCTGACCTCCGACACAGTGACGTCATTTTGACTTTAAATTATGCTTCATTATCTCTTCTGATCATGTTGTTAACGTGACAGTAACTAAACTGACCTGCAGGTGTCACTCTTTCTTTCTTCTGACCATGTTGCTTCTAATATGATAAATAAAAATCATCTGATTCTAAAAATGGTCTTTGTTCATTTTGATACAGTTATCTGAGGACCTAGAAGAAGACATGTTTAATTCTGTCCACAGACTGAAGACACACTGCCCCATCCCCACTGACTGAAGCAGACAGGTAGACAGACAGACAGACAGAGACAGAGAGAGACAGAGACATGTCATATTATAGTTACTAATAGTTGCTGATTCAGTTAGAATAATTTCCCATTATTTCTGAAAACAACTCACCTGTGGAAGGTTCTTGAGGTTCTAGAAATTCTTCAGGTTCTAGAAATTCTTGAGGTTCTTCGAGTTCCTGGAGGTTCTTGAGGTTCTTGAGGTAATAGAAATTCTTGAGGTTCTGGAGGTTCTGGTCGTTGGTTGTGATGAACCTCCTTTAAATAAAACTTCATCCTGCAGGAAGTGAAACTGAATACAAAAAGTGGAAATTTCCTTGGTGTATCCCCCCCCACCACCCCCCAACCCCACCACCCACACACAGAAAGTGTTTCTGTCAGAGTCTCTTAATCTGGATTAAACTATTTATTAAGAGTGTATTAAAGCGTTTTTAAGATTTTTATTGGAGGTTTGATTATGTTTTTTTATAGTATTTTTTAAGGGTTTATTAAATGTTTATTATATTTTAATTAAGTTTTAATAAGTGTTCAAAGTGTTGATGATGGGTTTATTTGGTTTATTAAGGGTTCATTATATGTGTTTATCAAAGTTTTAGTAAGGTGTTTTATGAAGGTTTCATTCAGGGTTAATTTGAGTATTTAGCAATGGTTTGTTATACAGAAATAATTTAGAAATTACCTTGTTTAAGTGGAATTTGAATGTCGGGGCTTGCGGACACTTGGATGACATCACAGGAGCAGAATGGAGGCAGGTTATGATTTTTCTGTTGTTTTATTACAGAATCAATCACCAGTTACTTTCATTGGATTCTGGACTATGAAAGAATTCAAATTTTTTCGGTCAACAATGCTTTTATTTAGGGTTTATTCAGGGTTTACTAAAGTTTAATGAATGGTTTATTAAGGATTTTTTAAGGGTTCATTGCCATTTGTTAAGTGTATATGTAAGTGTTTATTAAGGGTTTAATAAGGTGTTTAATAGGGGTTTATTCTGGGGGTTTAAAGGGTATTCAAATGATGAAACAGATCAATTAGAAAGTGATGTGAAATCATAAAATCTAAACTTTAATGACTTAATTGATTAACCATATTTATTGATTATCTTTTCCATCATCTGTGAGTTTGGCCACAGTCTAAATGTTTCTGTTCCATTTGTTTCAGTAAAAGTTCACTTAACGTTTCAAGAGAAAACGACAGGAAGTTCAGTTTACATTTAGACAGAAAACAAAACACATGGGTCAAACAGGAAGTACACACACGCACGTTTGTATTTCTATCTTAGTGAGGAAACTCATTGACGTAATGCATTCCCTAACCCCTAACCCTTACCTTAATCACCCAAACTGAATAACTAACTCTAACCCAAACCTAAACCTGATTCTAACTCTAAAAGTCTTAATCCTCAAACAGTCCTTTGAAGAAGTTAGGACCAGTCAAAATGTCCTCACTCCTTCAGGTGCTGGTGAAAAATCTAAACTACACAGAGATAAACCAAGACAAAGTCTCCAGGTTTTCACAGTTTGTTCATTTACTAAAGAAAACTGGGTATTTTAAATTAATTACACCTGTATCATTCAAATTGATCTTCAGTGTAGTGTTTAATTGCAGTGTCGTCCGTTCACATCTTCCTCAATGTGTTATCATGACAGTTCTACCGTAATATCTTTAATAAAGAGGTTTCCTTGCCAGGACATGACATATAAAGTTCCAGAAAATGACTCAGACATTTGTTTGCTCACATAGAGAACCTCTAGAACATGTGAGGAACACGTCAGGAACACATGACTAATGTTCATTTTGTTTCTAGAGGGGGAAAGGAGGCGTTATTCTCAGTAGCACACAAAATAATCGTAAAACATGTTAATGGACCAATTAATCACACAACTCAAATCAACCTGAAGATTCAAGAGCAAAGGAAACAGAGAGTTTCAGATCAGGGTTCAGTCAATAAGTGATGAAGATTCTAGAGGGAAGTCTAGTCGATCCTGAAGTCTGAGAGGGTTAGCAGCAATGACGTTGACTCCCTCTCAATAGAGGAGGAATGACAAGAAGAAGGCAATTCTTTGTTTGTAGAACAAACTGTGATCGTTTGTCCTGTTTATCTCTTTATCTCTGAATTTGTTCCAGGAAGTTGTTTCTCTAAGTTGATTTTCTTTCAGTTTAGGTTTCAGCTGTGATGTTTTCCTCCTTCACTTAAAGTAACTCAAGTTTTAATGGAATAAACAGTTAAGTATTTACCTCTGAGATGTAATAGATTACAAATGTAGTAATCAAAAGTATTGATTCAATATTGATTCTGATGTTACTGATACGATTGATAACACTGACTGAACTGCTCTGATTAACGATTATGTTTCTGTTTGAATCCACAGACTTTTGAAAAGCTCAGTCTGGCAGCAGCCCTGCAGGTAACAAACACACACACACACACACACACACACACACACACACAATTTTGTTTCCTTGTTTTATTATTAACTGATTCATTGAGGGAGCTGGTTGTTTTTATTCTGTTGTAATGATGTCAGTGACCTGTGGAGGGAGCTGGTAGTTAATACTTCAGTTTGTGTCTTTGATCATAATTGTTCACAGGTACACTATGTTCCTGAAAACTTTTCTGGAGACCATGGAGCAGCACTTCTTCGCTGGTTTCAACATGCGTGTATGTCTTCACCAAGCATCCAAAGAAGATACCCCAAGTCAAAATGGCCGGTGGCAGACAGGTAAAGGAATGGTAAATGGTTATATTTATATAGCGCTTTTCTAGTCTTGAAGACCACTCAAAGCGCTTTACACTACAGTTTTCCATTCACCCATTCACACACACATTCATACATAGAGTGCTTCTATAGCTAGCACTTTTTGTTGTTCTATTGGGCAGTTTGGGGTTCAGTATCTTGCCTAAGGACACTTTGGCTTGCAGATGGGAAGACTGGGGATCGAACTTCCGGTTGGAAGATGACCGCTCCACCCCCTCAGCCACAGCCACCCGCACACAAGGAAGTGTTGTGTTCCCAATAAACTGTCCGCCTGGTTTCTAGAAGCAAGTCTTGCTCTTCCTCAAGCTGACGGTGTGTTTGGTGCCCAGCTTCTCGCAGGATGCAGCCAATCCAGACCCTACTAAAGGAGGAGCTTTGTGACTATGCCGACTACATCTTCTGTCTGGATGTGGACTCCAAGTTCCACAGCCGCTGGGGGATGAAGTCACTGGGTGGACTGGTTGCTGTGGTAGCAACTCAGCAGCAACTAGTGTGGTCCATAATAGACGGACACTTCTGTTGTGTAGTGAAATCCCAATTTTACTCAGTTGTGTGGTAACAATGTCTGTTGTGTTTGAGATTAAGCAACACGGAGCCAACAAGACCACTCGGCTCTTCCATTCCACGTCTCACCTTTATGTTTGGATATGTTCCCTTTGTCTTTCCAATCTGTGTCTGCAGGTTACTGCAAAGTCGACTGCAGCGTGTCCCCCCATGAGCAGCGGCCCATCTCCAAAGCCTACGTGGCTCCTGGGGAGGGGGACTTCTACTACTGTGGGGGGCATGTGGAGGCCTCCTGCAGGAAGTACACCACCTCACCAAAACGTGCTGCTTCAGTCTGGAGGATGATGCTATGAAAGTCATTGAGGCTGCTTGGCAGGCGTAGAGTCACCTGAACAGGTGTTGACCCTGGTTAATATTGTAATGACTATACTTCCTGTTTGGTGGCTTCAGGTACATGTGGATTAATAAGCCCAATAAGGTTATTTTACCTGAGTACCTGTGGCAGGACTTTAAACCCAAAGACCCTGAAGTTCACATCATCAGGTTCTCTGGAGTCGCGAAGAACTACACTGAGATCCAACCCAACATCTGAGAGCACCCAACTGCACCAGACGGATTGTGAAAGTGAGCTTTGTATTCCCTGGCTCATTTTCCAACAGGACTCGTAAAAATGATTAGATAGAGGGTCCTGGTCTAGATCTGGTTTGGCCTCTGCCGAGTTTGTTTGGGTTTGGACCTGTCACTGTAAATAAAGTTGATGACACCTCTCCATGAAGCTAAAATATATCAGATATAAATGCTGCCATCATGTGGTGATGATGTAATTTACAGTCAGAGTCTGTGCAGCTGTGATCGTGGGGTGGAGCGGTGCATTGAGGTCCCGCCCATACACACTCTCTATCAATTCTGAGTCAGTCTCATCTGTCAATCATGGCATCTCAGCCTGTTTTCATATCATCAAATAACTAATTGAATCCAAACTGATCAGAAACACTTGAACAAGCATCAGTGAGATAAGAACGAGCTGAAATGACAGAAATATCTTTGACAAACATCATCACTGTTTCTAAAAATTAGAAAAAGAGGAAGTTTCCACAAAGGCAGGAAGCTGACTCTGTGTGTGGGTGTGTGTTCAGACTGCAAGTAAAACATTCACTGTTTCTGTCTCTCTTTCTGTCTCTCTCTCTCTCACTGTCCCTCGCTGTCTCTCTTTTTTGATAAATGCATTTATTCCTTTAACAGGTACAATGAAATACAATGAATATCAAGGACTCTTGTGAATCTAAAGAAAACACATCTGGCTTTCATCCAGCTCTTCTCATCTGCCTGGTAACAGGGAGAGAAGGCACTAGCTCAAATTTAGGGTAACCCTTAAAACTGTGACCTAATGCCCTGTATATTCAGGCTTTCTCCAAATTCCTCAGGACCTGTGGGCCTCAAACCCAAAGATACATTTCTTTTATAGGGAAGACAACACATAGCATTTCAGACACCACAACCCCATATATAGTTTCTGTGAAAACAAGAGTGCTTCATTTTTCCTGTAGTGTCGAGTTTAAACGTGAGGTCAAGCAACAATGGAGCATGATCAGATATCACTAGAGTTGAGTATTCCATGCATTTGACAGCAGAGAGGAAATAATTATCAACAAAAAAGTAAGCGATTCTTGAAAATGTTTAATGGGCGTGAGAGTAAAAAGAAATCAGGATTAAGAAAATGCCATGGATCCATAATTCTAATTTGGTTCATATATGAGGAAATTGGTTTGGCAATTAGAGAAGGGGATTATCATTTTGGACAAGACTTATCAAATAATGGGTCCATTGTACAGTTAAGGTCACCACCCAAAATTAAGTCGTAGGAGTTTAAATCAGGTAGAAATGAAATTACTTCTCCAATGAATGCTTCATCATCCCAGTTGGGTGCATTAAGATTGACAAGAACAACAGTGACATTATTGAGGGAACCTGAAACGATTACAAAACAGCCTTGGGCTAAACTGTGTATTTTTATGTATCAAAATAGCTGTACCCCTTGCTTTGCTACTAAAATTGGAATGAAAGGTTTGGCCAACCCATGCACCTTTAACCTATGATGATCGTTCATGGTCAGGTGAGTCTCTTATAAGAAGGCAAGTGAGAAAATATTCTACCTCTCGTGACCAGGCCATTGATCCCTTTTAAATTCCAAGAGACAAATCTCAGACTTGCTCCTCCGTTTTTTGTTTATGTTAGCCACAATCGGATATAAGGGTATATGGAGCAGTAACATAGTGCCTTGATAAGGAAAGGGAAAAAATAACACATACAAAAACCATCCTGTAGGACCCAACAACCAAATTCCCCAAACAGAAACCTCTCAGAACAGAAAGCACGTAAACACACCTAATCATTCCTAAGCTCGTTCTAAGAACTAGAACTAGCAGCAGGACCTCATAACTGTGACACTTCCATATGACGTAAAACCCGCAACCTTTCTTTCTTTCCCGAGCTCATAGGGATCCTGTATCTGCAAATATATCTAAGATAAACAGTGCAACTTAGTAAAGGGAATTAGCAGAGAGCAATGCTCATTCAAAGCAACACCTGGGTTGTAAAAGAAGTAGTAGCCCATGACAACCATACCTAAACCATACCGGACAGACAAATAAAATAAGAAAGTTAACAATAATTAAATGTTACATTAGTAACTTCATAGAAAAAGAAATTGTAAGATGACTGCTGACTGTCAAATATATCCATACTTCACATTGGTTCCACACCAGGTTATTTAGTTGCATACAAACTTGGAGAGAGTTTAAGGACCATGGTCTTTCAGGTTAACCTTTTCCAGAACTATCCATTTATGAATGTTCACTCGCATTAGAGCGCTATAAGTCCAGAGGCTGACATCCCTTTAACAGGCTCAGCATCCATTAGCCGGTGGGAGCAATGTGCTGGTCGTCGAAGTCCTGGGTTTTTAGCAGACAGTCAAAGTAGTAGCTGTCATTTCAGAATGAAACCTGGAGACGGGCAGGATGGAATTGTATTCCTGTCAGGTAAAGAGAGTTTTGAACGTGAGACTTTGAATGCAGTTCATTTTTTAGCCAGAACGGTGCTGATGTCCAGGTATACTCTCAAACTTGGAGCCGCGGTAATCCAGTTTGTGTTGCCTGGCCCATTTTTAGACTTTTTTTTCTCCTGGAAACTGAGGAATTTAACAATAAAAGCCCTTGGTTTAACTGTGCCGGCATCTCCTGGTCTAGGACCGAGGAAGCGGTGGGCTCACTCTGTCTCTGGAGGGTTGTTGAAAATACCAGGACTGTCACCACCATTAACAAATCAGACACAAACTTTGTTGGGTCCTGATCCTTCTCGCTTCCCTTGGGTATGTTAATTATCATCAAATTAGAATGACTGGACCTGTTTTCGAGATCATCCATCCACTCCAGGAGTACCCTGGTCTGTGACTGTAGAGACATAACAATGGCTTCCATCTCGGTGAGTTTTTCAAAATTTCTAAAACTTAAGTTTAAGTGAGAGGGTTGTTGAACGATGTCACTTGTTGTCCCAGTGAGTTGATTGTTGTACCATGTTAGCCATGTCGGCTTTGAAGCTATCACGCTGTTTCCTGAGCAAAGCCTCAAGGTCAGTCTTGGTGACTGGGTCAGCATTGCTCCCGCTGTCAGCGGTCGTTGCTAGTCGAGGCAGTGGCGGCCATGGTGGCTAGCTTAGCCAAAATGCTAGAAGCTCGGGTTGTTTTTGCAGGTTGTTTCTGCTTTGAGTCGCTCATTGCACTGTAGCACTCTTAAGTATTTATACATAAATATACAAGAGCAAAAATAAAAGTAAATTGGTCAAAAAATGCTGATAGTTTGTTAGATTTAGAAAGTATAAGAAATGTTGAACCGATTTAACCCCCACTCGCACGTCTGCTTACTGCCTCATTAAACCGGACGTCCCTCTGTCTGTCTCTCTGTCTCTCCCCCTCTCTCTCTCACTGTCCCTCGCTGTCTCTCTATCTATCTCTCTGTCTCTCTCACACACAGACACACACATTGAAAGAGAAGAGTGTGTGGAGAGAGACAATAAAGGTGCCCTTGCATTCTCAAATCCATTTATGGCCTGTGTGTTTGTATGTGTGTGTGTGTGTGTGGGGGGGGGTAACACACATACAGACGTGATTTAATTTCATGGTGAGCGAGCATGACTGAAGGAGGGGAGTAGAGTGAGAGAGAGAGAGAGAGAGAGAGAATCAAACTTAATCAGACAACCTTCATTTATCTGTACAGAGAGAACGAGCAGCATCCGTCCGAGAGAAACAGGTCTGAACTCTTTTTCTTCTTCTTCTCCTCCTCTAGGTATGTTATCATTAATTCCTCAAACTGTGAATTTAAAGTGAACTGATAAATTATAGTTAAATTATTTTTGTTATATGTTCTATTATGTAATTATTTTATATATTTATTTATATTCTATTTTACTATAATAAGATAATTAATTTATCATGTATCATTATAAAGTGTGACATGTGTGTTTTACCTGATTCAAATGAATTAATCCGGTTCAAACTGTTTAAATAAACCCAAACATGAATGAGGCTGATCAATACAACAGTGTGTCGTCTACATAACGGAGAATATCCTTCTTTGATCAATCGTATCGATCCAAAATGAGCTGGTTCATCCTGAGATCAGTGAATCGTGATCTCAGATCAAGAACTGCACCTTTAACAAAAGACATTCAGCTAATCAAATTAGTGAAAAGTAAGAACAGGAAGTTCACGTCATGCTCCAAAAAGGAAAAACTGTGATAACAGAGCTTTTATTCCAGTTCGGACTTGTACGTGTTAATTTTTCTGACGGACATTTAAGAAAAGTTTGTCTCACACGTTCAGAGAACTGATGTTCTGTGAAACAACACAACATAATTTCAGCTCAGATTTCAAATCCTGACAGGAGGAGTTTGCTTCTCTAGAAAACGTATGGACGGATGTAAGAGGAAAAACAGCTGTTACAGCAGTTCAGTTGTTAAAATGTGTTGAAATTGTTAATTTTTTGTTTTGTGTTGAAATGATTTGGTTGTTGTGTTGTGTTGTGTTGAAATTCATCTTCAACTTCAAACGGTGTCATTTTCACCAAGTGTTTAATCTAAAGGTCTGTGATCCTTCTCCTGTGTGGATCACAGATGAAGGTTAGACTAAAAACAAAGTTTGGAGTGAGACTGGAATATTGGGTTAGAACAGAAAATCTTTCTGTTATTATATTTTATTGTTAAAATATTAGTTTATTAAACTGTCTTTGTCCATTTCTGGACCTTATACCCTGATCTAAACCAACAGATGTCTTTGTATCCAGAGGGGGGCACTCAGTAGGTCCTTACTTTGACATCATGCTGTTGTCGTCCTCTCAGGTGTGCGTCTCCATGGCGTTGGGTGTTTTTGCGTTGTTGGCTATTTATATCAGTGTGTGTGTGGCGTTTAACCTCGACACGTCGTTCCCACTGCTGAAGACGGGCGGAGATGGGAGTTTGTTTGGTCTGTCTGTCGCCCTGCACCAGGACCTGAAGACAGATGCCTACCTGTGAGTACACACCTGTCTGTCTGTCTCTCTCTCTGCCTGTCTGTCTTTCTCTCTCTCGCTCGCTCTCTCTCTGCCTGTCTTTCTCTGTCTGTCTGTCTGTCTCTCTCTCTGTCAGTCTGTCTTTCTCTCTCTTGCTCGCTCTCTCTCTGCCTGTCTTTCTCTGTCTGTCTGTCTGTCTCTCTCTCTGTCAGTCTGTCTKTCTCTCTCTTGCTCGCTCTCTCTCTGCCTGTCTTTCTCTGTCTGTCTGTCTGTCTCTCTCTCTGTCWGTCTGTCTGTCTCTCTCTTGCTCGCTCTCTCTCTGCCTGTCTTTCTCTGTCTGTCTGTCTGTCTTTTTTTCTCTCTGTGTCTCTGTCTCTCACCAAGCTTTCCTGTGGTAACCATGACAACTGTCTCTTTATGGTCTCTAACTGAATTGGCATAATGGAGTTTCCTGTGCACGTTCCTGGGTCAGGAGGTCAATGTCTCCTCCAATTGGTTCAGAGCCCCTCCCATCACGCGCTTGCTGCTCTGTCATTGGTCAAACGGAAACACTGTGGTGTAATGGACAGGAAGTGTCAGGACATCAGAAAGGTTCAAGAAGGAAGTGATGAGATCATCAAGATGGCAACACACCTGAGCTGTTGTCGGTTCAGCAGGAAAACTGATCTGAGTTCAGGGCTGCATTCTAACCAAAAAAAGACCTGTTCTAGTTTGAAAATTATGAGGAAAGGAGCTTCAGTGCTTCCTTATCTCCTTTTCAAGAGGAAACATCGGACCATCCTTTATAAAAGTAAGGGGGACATTTTGAACAATTCTTTGCAGCAGCAACATTTAAAGTGACACACCCACATAAATATAAAGAACAGAACAGCCGTTTTATTCTCCTTAATCATCACATGATCATCTTCTTCTCTGTAACATCTTTCAACAACAATCACAGTAAGATGATTTAATGGTTAGGAAAGGAAATGATTTGGTCTTTCAGAATGCAGCTCAGGTCTGAGGTCAGAGACAGGAAATGAAAGAATTACACACACACAGTGTGTGTTACTGTGTGTTACTGTGTGTGTGTGTGTGTGTCCTGGGCGTCCTTGAGACTCAGACGTCTCCTTGTTAATTCCAGAAGCGTAATGACAACAAAGGAGCTGAACTCAGATTTTCTGCCGGAGTGTCATTGGACGTTCAGAGTTTCCTTGGAAACACCTTCATCCTCTCACCTGTCTCATTCTGACAGGCTATTGGTTGGAGCTCCTAGGGAGACAGCGGAGCCTGATGTTCCAGCTAATCGGACTGGAGGTGTATATAGCTGCCCGATCTCCATGAACCAATCAGACTGCAGCAGGATGAAGCTCATACATCCTGGTGAGACGTGTTCAAAGCTTTAATTTTATTTTATTGAAGAACTACTACCATCTTTGAGAAAAAAATGTTTTTGTGTCAACCAATCACACAGAAGGAATGAGGTTTACTATCTGCTGCTGCCATACACTCAGCTGTTACCATGGCAATGGCCACTCAGAGCAGGATTCAAATTTAGATTGTAAAATCACGGCTGACTGTGGCCTGCAACTGTTACAGATGTGAAGCCATCTGAGGACCTGATTGAAGACATGTGGCTTGGTGTCTCAGTAGCCAGTCAGGGCCGACCTGGCGGGAGGGTCCTGGTGAGTCTGTGTTCTCATTGGCTGATTAGGGTTAGGGTGTTTCATTGATTTGTGAGACTTGAGGTGAGCTGTTCCAACAAACTAACTAAATTACATACTTACTAATTAACTAGTTGACTGACTAACTAGCTAACTAACTAATTAACTAGCTAACTTACTAACTAACTAGTTAAGTGACTGACTCACTGACTGAAAACCTGTCCTTCCTCCCTGCAGGCATGTGGTCATCGCTTTGTTAAACTCTATGGACCATTAGAAGTCAGACAGATGATTGGCCGATGTTATCTCCGTGGAAACGACCTGCAGTTCAACAACAGCGACATGAACTGGCAGAAGCCCGACCAGCCCTGCAGGTTGGTCACATGACATGTTGACACAAGTCACATGATATTGTATTTGTGTATTTGTGTGTGTTTTTGCGTAGTCACCTTGGTGATGTCAGAGGCGAGGTCATGTGTAACGCTGGGTTTTCAGCTTCCATCACCCAGACCGAGGTTATCGTCGGGTCACCGGGAAGCTACGAATGGCAAGGTACCATTCTGCTCTATTCTGTTCTGCTCTATTCTGTTCTATTCTACTATGTACTATTATATTATGTACTATTCTGTTCTGTTCTATTCTATTCATCAATTTTTCTTCTTCAGAGTTTCTGTTGTATAACGTGTGTGTGTGTGTCTCTGTGTGTGTCTCTCTCTATTTGTGTGTCTCTGTGTGTGTCTCTCTCTCTCTTTGTGTGTCTGTGTGTGTGTAGGTAACGTACACGTCTCCTGGATGAATCCCGTCGACGTGTTTGATTCCAAACAAAGTTTCTTCCCCAACATGAAGCTCAGGAACATTTATATCGGTGAACTGTCCCTTTAAAATATTCTGTCACTTCTGTCACTTCAGCTGCTTTTATTTTGAAATTCTGACTCATTGTGAAATGTCCATTGTTTATTGTGTGTGTGTGTGTGTGTGTGT